TTTTTTTTTTTTTTTTTTTTGCAGTACTAGGAATTGAACTCAGGACCTTGCACTCGCCAAGCAAGCACTTATTCTACTGAGCTATCTCTCTGGCTGAAATAAATAAATCTTAATTTAAAAAAAAAAACAGAGAAACTTTTATAATGGCTACCTCCTGAGATGCAAATTGGAAATGCAGAGTGACAATGTGAATCACATTTACAACAGACTATTTCAAACTTCTACGTCAAAGCTTACTAGGTTTGTTAAACTGTTCATTTAACTATTTTTGAAATAAGATAATCCACTTTCTTTTTCTTTCTCTTTGGTGCTGGTGATTGAACCAAAGGCCTCCTGCATGCCAAGCAAATCTCTACCGCTGAGCTACATCCTCATCCACTGTGACTGACGTCTTACAAAGTGTCCTGGCCAGGCAAGAGTGCACACCTATAACACCAGCTATTTGGAAGGCTGAGGCAGGAGGACCACAAGTTCAGGCTTAGCCTTGGGAACCTAGGGACTTAGCATGACCTTGTCTCAAAAATAAAAAACCCTAAAGCCAGGAAGTAACTCAGAGGTGCAGCTCAGAGGAAGAGCGCCTGCGTACTGCGCGCAGGCCGTGGCTCTCAGCCTGGCAGCACGGAGAGGAATGAAGCAGCTGGGAGCAGCCTAGTCACTCACAGCTCAGGATGATGTGGGCGGCGCGGTAGAGCTCCAGGTGGCACAGCAGGTCCAGCAGCTGCTGCACCGTGGCCTGCCGCATGCCCCACCACCACAGCAGCTCCCGTGTGATGCTCACGCCCTGCACACGCTCCATGGCCTTGATCTTCCGCAGCTGGGTCAGGTCTGTGATCACGTAGGAGGCTGGAAGGCAAGCAGGGATGCTGAGAGGCAGGCCTTCCCCGAGGGACCCGCACCACCCGACCCACAGCTTCCTTTCTGTTTTGTGTTCTGCACATCTGTGTGCATGTACGGGACTGATCACAGGGCCTTCACGCTGAGATCAATCTCCAGTCCTTTTTATTTTTTATTTTGACTCACTAAATCACTAAGTTGCCCAGACTGGGCTCAAACTTGCAATCCTCCTGCTTCATCCTCCTACAGTGCTGGGGTCCCTGGTGTGTGCTACCGTGACAACTCCAGCTGAACCTTTCAACACATATTCTGCTGAACCCTCGTGGGGACTGGCGCATGGACAACTGAGGACAACATCAGCCTGGCTGCCACACAGGACAAGAGGGTGCGAGCCTCGGGCAGCCACTGTGTCTGCCAGGGGCTGCACGTCACGGGAGAGCCTCCGTGCTGTCCCCATGTAGGATGAGATGCAAACATTCGGGCAGGAGCTGTAGAATGTAGCAGAATGCTCACCCAAGCCCGTGTCAGGCCCTGGGTTCAATGCCAGGATCAGAACAAAAGCCCTAAGGATAGCCGATGGATGTGGACGTGGTGGCGCACGCTATAATCCTAGCTCTCTGGGAGGATGAGGTGGGTGGATCGCAAATGCCAGCCCAGCCTGGGTAATTTAGCAACTTAGCAATATCTGATCTCAAACCTAAAAATCCGAAAAAGGCTGGGGGTGTGGCTCAGCATGAAGGTCCTGGGTACAACCTAGTATTACAAAAAATAAAAATAAAAAAATAGCTAGAAATTCATATCATTTTGTTAAGTAAAAATCTGTATCACTTTTAATTTTTTGTTTTAATTCTAATTTGTACTCTCTTTTAAAAAAAAACAGATCAACAGACATAAAATAGTTAGGCGTGGTACACCGCATCCCAACACTAGGGAGGCTGAGGCAGGAGGATCTGTTAGTTCAAGGCCAGCCTGAATCCTAGTTCAAGATCCTATCACAAAAAAAAAAAAATCTATTTCTGGAATGGAATGCCAGTCCATTGGAGCGACACCCTGAGCAGGGCACTCACCAGGTCACGCTTTGTTCCCACAGTGGCACCATGCACGCGCAATGCACAGGGATACCAAAGGCCTGAAGCTTGGCGTCCTATGCCACATTACACAACTCTCTGCCCTCTGGGAGAAGTGCATGGCTGGGAACAAAAGTTCCAGAGTTGCAACCTCAGTCACTGGAAACCCCAGATGGAGGCCAGGCCAAGGAAGTGATGTCACCCAGGCAGAGAAGGCAGCAGCAGGACAAGGAGGGCACCACCAGCCCCCAGGAGGCTGAGGAGTGACAGTAAAACAGTCAGGGTTGCACGGAGGAATGGGTGCCCTCTGGGCTGTGCTGGCCCTGTGATCCTAGAAAAGCAGGAAGTGAACTAGGAGCGGTCCTTGAGGGGCACATGGAGGTGACATAGCTGAAGTCCAAAGTCTGGCCATCAGCACCACACAGCCTGACACAGGGTGGAAACAGAGTTGGGGATGAGTCACAGCCAAGCTCCTGCTAACCAGGCAAGTGACACATGTTCACCGAAGGCATTTGGAAAGCAGAAGAAAAACCAAAGCCCTATGACAATGCCACTGGGAAGACCCAAGAAAACCACCAGGCTTTCCAGGGTTTTTCCCATAGATACACAAGCCCATGCTAGTCTGGGTCTGGTCTGTTGGTTTGTCTGGGGGCAAGGTCTTACTGCGCAATTGGAGCTGGCTTCAAACTCACTGGTAGCCCAGGCTAGCCTCGAAGCCAAGACCCTCCTGCCTCAGCCTTGAATGCTGAAATAACAGATGTGCTCCACACCCAGCTTAACTAAATCTTGAATGTCCCCTGAGGCCCATGTGCTAAAGGCTGGTCACTCTTGGCGGGCAGTGGAAATAGAACAAGGCCTGGTCAAGGTCTGCCCCTCATGGAGGACCTCCCTTGGAGGGCACAGGGGACCCTGATGTGGCTCTCTCTGTCTTCTTGCTTCCTGGGCCTATGATCAGCACAGCTGTGCTCCCCTGAACTCCTACCCTGAGGGGGCAGCCTGTCCACCGGCCCAACGCCTCAGACACCAAGAGCCACAGTACCCTTCTCTCTTGTATGGAAGTGGTGGGCAACATAAATGTCACCCCACTGTGTGACACCCCAGGACTCTCCCACAGAGACCACTGCTCCAGCATTCCTTCTCAAGTTCACGTTGGCCACCTTGAGTGTCCTCTAGGCCCAAGGGGCACAGTGCTGAAATGTCCCAACAGTGCAAATGCTCCATCTCCAGATTAAGGGGTTCCTCCCCATGAAGGAAGAGGACCCCAGGATCCCTGCAACCCTATTTCCTGAGCCTCCCAGCACCATGAAGGAGGCACCACAAAGCAAAGGTAGCCCAAGAGGGTGGTCCCGGCCTGAGCACACAGGCTGCCAGCGCTTGTGAGCTGGGAGGAGATCCCCACACAGCCTGGGCTAGAGCCTCCGGGACCCAAACCTTGCACAGGCCTGTTGCCACAGTGGTCAGGAACTAACCATGAGGCAGTCTGCCAAGCGTCAAACCCAAAACATGGTGCAGCCCTGTGGCCAGGGATTCTCAGAATCACTCTCTATTCTTCCCACACCCCCACATCCTCTCTCCCAGACCACAGTGGTTCAGACACCATTGGGTTTAGCCCCAGGACCCAGCAAGGACAAAGGCCAGGGCTCCAGGCAGCCTCTGCCCAAGGAGGATGGCATGGCCAGGGCTGAGCACAGCGCCCGTGGGTGAGACACAGACACAGCTGTGTCCTCACCCACAACTCTCACTCCGCTTAGCTTAGTATGGCCCGTACTCTAGCAGCTGTGCACTCACACCTCCGGGGAGAGACAGTCTCGGAGGGGTCAGGTACCTGGTAGTGCCAAAGCACAGCAACCCAAGTGAAGGAAAGCCCAGGAGGGCCACAGAGTCAGGGTTAGGAATGGCTCTTGAACGAGGCTTCAGGCTGACCTGCAGGGACATACCAATGGGGATAGCGCCACCCCAAAGATGCCCAAAAGCCCTGAACCTGAATTCTGTGCACATGGCCCTTTGCACCGCATGGAGACTCAGCAGAGGGGTTTACACAAAGATTCAGAGACCAGAGATCACCATGGGCCACCAGATCCTCCGGCTGTGATCACCAGGATCCTGAGGGGAGGCAGAACTTTGAAGTCCAAGGCACAGGGGACAAGCAGATGTGAAGGCAGAGGAGGCCCCAGGCAGAGGGATGATGTGCAGAACGGGGGATACCACGCAATGTGGGGGAATGTGTCACAGCGGCAAGAGGAAACTGACACAGCCCAGGGGGTTGGCAGGAGGCTGGGGAAGTGAGGTAGGAGAGCGGCAGCGGCGTAGGCAGGAGGTCAGGGACAAGCAAGCAGGTCCAAGCATTTGGGCTACCTGGTGTCCCTGGGGCCCACAAAGATATATCCTCTGAAAAGGACCCATGGACTAGCAATAAGAGAAGATGCTTATCTACTTACTAGGGAAACATACACACATCACCGGAAAAAATGTCATGCCACACCCATGCCAAGGCTAGAACCAAAAAAACAGTGAAGTGGCTGACAAGGGCATTGAGGAGAGACACGCCCCTCCTGCCCAGCTGTGGGGTGTGGCCCTGAGTAGTCTCCAGATGGATAGACAGCGCACCTCCCTGCCACTGGACTTGTCAGTCCCTCCCCGCCCTGACAGCACACCCACTGGGACAGGAGAGTCCAGGGCACACCAGAGTCACAGCCCAACTATACATGAAAGCCAACCCCAAAGGGCCAGCGACTGGATGTGTGAACAAGCCGTGCAGCAGCCACACAAAGGGTATCACTGAAGGATGGGGCGGAGCTCAGGATGGATAGCTTGAGGGCTCCCTGGGTCCACCCCCAGCTACCCCTCAGACAAAGACTTCTATCTCGAATATGTAAAGAGTTCAAGCCAGGCATGGTGGTGCATGTCTGTGTCTGCAATCCCAGCATTTGGGAGGCTGAGGCAGGAGGATCACAACTTTCAGATTAGACTGGGCTACATAGTGAGTTGAAGGCCAGTCTGGACTACACAGTGAGATTGTGTCTCAAAAATCAAAAACAGGGGCTGGGGAGATGGCTCAGTAGAATAAGCACTTCCCTGGCAAGCGCAAGGGTCAGAGCTCAATCCCTGGCTCTGCCAAAACAAAAAACAAAACACGAATAAATGTTCAACATCACTAGTCATTCAAGAGATTCAAACTAAAACAACAGAGATTCCATTTCATCCTAGTAAGAATGGCTGTCATCAAGAAATCAACTAGGGGCCGGGGAAACAGCTCAGCAGTCTAAGCACCCACCCGGCAAGCGCAAGGACTCAGGTTCAAGCTCCAGTACTACGTGCTGTGCTGGCCCCAGAACCCAGGTGCACAGTGCTGGCCTAAAACTGGGCATCAAGGTGCACACCTATAATCCCAGCGCTGGGGAGGCTGGGATAGGAGCATCACTATGAGTCCAAGTTGTGTAGCGAAAACCTGTACCAAATAAATACATACATAATTAAAAGATTTTTAAAAATCAACTAATGTCAAATGCTGACTGGGATGTGGGGAAAACAAGTTACCCTTGTCCACCACCAGCAGGAGTGCAGACTAGTGCAGCCACTGCGGAAAGTCCTCCGAACACTATGACTACAGGGTCCAGTCCACCTCTTTCAGGAGACCTCTCTGGCCCCGTGTGAGGCAGGAGATATGCGTGCTGGGGACCACAGGCACCCACCTCAGCAGGAGCCTGGGGAGCAGACACTCTTAAGTGCTTTGGGATCCTGCACATCAGTCGAAACACTGCATTTGGACCCTGAGACCAGTAGGGCTACAGGGTGAGCCCCTAACTCAGAACACCCCAAACAAATAAAACTTCCCTTCCGGAATGACAGTTCCCCCAGGCAATTACCTGCACCAAACATTCCAGGAAGGGGAGAAAAGCCAATCTTGGAACTCCTGTAGTCCCCACCCGTGGCTGTGCCTGCCCTCCTGCACGCTGAGGGTGGCCATTCACTACTGGCAGTGCCGCCTCGCTGTAAATTCAAGACCAGCCTGGATTACATAGTAAATCAAGGCCAGGCTGAAATAAATAGACTCTGTCTCAAAAAGTTATCATTTCATCTTCAGTTTATAGACTGAGAAACTGAGACTCATGGAGAGTGAGAAATTGGTCACAAGTCACAGGGCTGGAACACAGTTTTTCTCTGCTTGGACACACAGGCAGCCACTCGGCCATATTATTAGGCACGAGTTACTGTCCAGGGCCTGGATTCCAATCATCCTATTCTGCCACCTAGCCAGCCCAAGCTCTCAGGCAGGTTACTTCCCTTTTTTTCTTTTCTTTGTACTGGAAATTGAACCCAGTGCTTTCACACCAAACTACATCCCAGAACCACCATCACGCTTACTTTTATTTTTAAACAGTGTCTCGACAAGTCACTAGGTTGCCCAGACTGAGATTAAATTTGCGACCCTCCTGCCTCAGCTTGCCGGATCTCCTGGCCAACGGGCATGCGCTGCCCTCCCTAAGGCAGGAGGAACACAGCTCCCCGGCACCCCGGCAGGCGCACTCACCGAACTGCATCCAGTCCCACTCGCTGAGCGTGTCCATGCTACGGCACAGCTCGTCCAGGACGCGAGCCGGGAGCTGGTAGATGAAGCCGTCCATGGCGGGACTGCCCGGACACAACCGGGCCAAGGGGCGGGGCCAGGATGGGGCAGGGAGGGCGGGGCTGAAGGGGCGGGGCCGTGGGGACGCCCTCTGCTAGCCCAGAGAGCCAGGAGGAACCCTGGAAGAAAGCCTGCCCCGGGGTTTGCCTTTGTGGGACTCTCCCCGAACTGTCAGCGGCGCTGTTAGAAAGCAGCAAGGGCTGTTGAAAAGGAGTAAAAGAGCTGGGCGTGGTGGCACTCGCCTGTAATCCCAGCACTCGGGACACTAATGCAGGAGGATCACAAAGTCGAGCCCAGCCTGATCAACTTCGAGAAATCTTATCTCAGAAAGGAAACAGAAAATGGGGAAAAATAAATAAATACATAGGAAAAGGGCTGGGGTGTAGCTGAGTGCAAAGGACCTCGGTTCAATCCCCAGGGCTGGAGAAAAACAGCAGGCATCGCAGGCGTGAGCCCTGAGCTCCATTCTGGCGCTGCCCCACCAGAGAGGAAACCAGCAGGGAGCAACACCTGAAGGGGCGCGAAGTCACACGTGTGAAAGGGAGGCTGGGTGCTAACCACAGTGTCTCCGAGCTCCCAAATACTCGTGGCAGACGGTCACATAGGACAGAAGAGCACTTACACTAATGGTGCCGTATGTCTATCTGCAGACTTCACTTACTCCTTATGGTGACTCTATGAGGTAGGTGTGTGGTGACCACTGCCATTCGATAAATAAGGAAACAGGCACGCAGAGGTGTAATGCCACGCCTAAAATTACACAGGTACAACGGAGCTGGACTGGCTACAAACTGCCTTTACCATAGCTGTTTCTACAGTGCAGTGGTTGATACATCATGTCAACTTGAGAAGTTTAAGTGACTCTGATTCGGTCTTTACTTTATGAGCCAACCTCATCCTGTTCAAGAGGAGGCGTGCAGATTGTGACTGCTACACCTGCCTTGGGGTAGTCTGCTTACTGTATAAGGGAGGATGTGGCTCAGGGGTAAAGCATGAGGGTAGCATGCTGGGAGCCCTAGGTGTGAGCCCCAGCACCATGAAAAAAAAGAACGAAGCCCATTCATTAGAAAAAAAAAAAGGGTCAGGGGAGACAACCTGCTCGGGCCCCCCTCCTGTCCCTCTCTCAGAGCTTTCTTCCCCTCAATAAATATATTCTGCTCATAAAAAAATAAATAAATAAAAAATCAGGGATGTAGTTCAGTAGCACAGAGCAATGAGGTCATGAGTTCAAGGTACTAAAAAAGAAAAGCAAAAACAAAGAAATATATAAGGGAGGAAAAGAGGCTTGCTGTTCCCCCACCCACTCTTTGCTCTTGCTGCTTTTGCTGTCTTCTGCCACCTCGAAGTGCCATGCCACCCTGCCTTGGAGCCAGCTGATTAAAGACTGAAATCCCTACAAACTGAGCTAAATAAACAGTTCCTCCCTTAAATTTGGACATCAGGTACTGTATCTCAGCAAGGAGAGAAAAGTAACTGAAACATACAGTGTGGGGCTTGTTTTGTTTTTTGAGACAGTCTCTCAGGCTGGCCTCAAATCCACGGTTATCCTCCTGCTTCAGCCTCCCTGGTGCTGGTATTCCAGGTGTGCACCACCACAATCAGCTTTCTAGAAAATCTATTATTGAGGCCAGAAGTTCAGGTACGCAGACAGAAAGAGGGAGAGCTGGAGGATCAGGCAGTCAGCGACGAGCGGAAAGTGGGACTCAGGACGGAAGGCAGAGCTCTTTCTTGTTTCGGCAGTGCTGGGCTTAAACCTGGGCCTCGCGCGTGACAAGCACGGGCCCTAACGCTGGCCACACTCCAGCCAAGACACCCGCTAGGGTGGAAGTGCCTGAGAAGTTCACGCTGGGGTTTCTGCACTGAGAAGGCAGGGCCCTGACAAGTCTCACACTTTCTTCTTGGTCCCTGTGGCAGCACTGGAGATGGCGGCCGGCCTCTGGACGACAGGCCAGTACCCTCGCCCTGAGCTCCAGCCTACTTCACAGCTCTTCACCGTGCTGGGTTCAGGCCAGTCTCCTTTGATTCTCAGCACAGCCACTGGGGAAAATACTGACCTCTGCCCTTTTCTGGTTCTGTTGGGGGGAGAACACTTTTGTTTCCAATGCAAATGCTTTTCTTCTTAACTATTGTCTGTGGTACATAAATTCTTCACAGTGACATTTCTTCTTTATATATATAAAAAAAAAATGTTAGTCAAAATGATGTTAAATTAAGAACAATTCCATGGCTGGGAAGGGAGAGTTAGAATGAAGCCTGTGGGCTGGCACCTGGGCCCCAAACAGAGGTGACGGCTCACATCTGTCCCTCTCCCCCTCCCCAGCCACCAAGAAAACCCCTTCCAAACTTCCCCAGAGAGAACAGCCAGGGAGAAACAGCACAACACATACGCCTGTTTTCTTTTTTTTTTTTCCTTTTTTATTTTTTTTTTTACCGCCTGTTTTCTTAGTAGCACCATTTAATGTACAGGTTTTTTAAAATTCAAAATAATAAGTATCACAGTCTATTAAGAACAATATGTTTAATATATTCACAAGATTCCAAATTAAAAACATACATTTTTCACAGTATAGGTCGATCTTTCTTGTTGGACAATACAGAAAACAGTGTTTCAAATTTCACATTTGACAAGAGAAAAAATGAAATCTCAGCTTGACATCATAACAAGTTTAAAACATAAAACCTATGCCAAACTGCTGTGGAGCTTTTCTTGCCCCTCAGGTCCCAGGGGTGCCCACAACACACCTCTGCCTCCCCACCAGGCCTGAGAGAAAATCACAGTCCTACAGGGAGCAGCATGGCAGCCCCCTAAGAAGCACGCCTTCACTGCTAACCTGAGAGGAGATGCAATTAGGTGAGCTGAGGGCGACAAAGATAGCCGGCACAATATCCAGCACAATGGTGCTCCATGGAAGCAGCAACACCAAGACACGCTTCATACTCATCGCAAGGGTTACAGTAATGCTCACGGAAAGCATTTCCCATGATAATAACATGGGAAAATATTTAAGCTAGAAACCTAAATAAAAAAGTAAAATATAAAACTGCATAATACACGATCTTAACTGTGTCAAAAGCAACTGACCAAAATGTGTCCTATAAAAGGCTGAAAGACAGCACTTGGGAGGCCGAGGCAGGAGGACCACTGCGAGTTCAAGAGCAGCCTGGGTTACAAAGTGAGCTCAAGCCCAGCCTGAACCACATAGTGAGACTCTATCTCAAAAAGACACAAGAAAAGCTAAAAGTTAATAGTGATTATATTTATGTAGTGCATCTATAGTGATTTTCTTTTACTTCTTTTATTTTTTTGAGATAGTGTCTTGCTATCACTATGTTGCCCAGGCTGGCCTCAAACTCTGGTAATCCTCCTGATTCAGCTTCCAAAATGCTTGGATTACAGGCATGCACCACCACACCTGGCTACTACTCTTTTTAAATTTTTCTCTGCTAGGGGAATTTTTTTAAAAACACTATTACTTACAAAAAAGTAAGTCTGATAGAAGTATTAAATTTGAGTTAATGACTTAATGTCCCACCTGTAAGAAAAGATGTGCATGTTCACAAAATGACAATATTCCAGGTTACTCCAAGATGAGCTGTGAAGACTGGCCCCAAGGTGGGGGGCTTTGGTCTCTCTCCAGGCAGGTAAGGGGTGACCAGGCCCTGCAGATACAGATGCTGAACAAATGGAAACGCCATGGATGTACAAATTTGACAAACATACCCACCTCTGAGGAGGCTTCACAGCACAGCACTCTCACACTACAATTACACAAAGGAGCAGCTCTTTTCTGCTCTTCTTTTGTGTGATGTCAAGTTACAAAAATGCTATTATCACAGTTACTGTGGAAACCCAATCCTGGTTTAGACATAGAAACAAAACAGCATTACAATACGAGTGGACCAAGAAAGATAGGAGACTTAGAAAATTAGAAAAAGTGCTTTCTATAAAAATGATTCTTCTTTGATTTTTTGAAACACGGTCTCACCATGAACTCACTGCCTTGAACTTACTACACAGCCCAGGCTGGCCTCAAACTTGCAGTGACCCTCCTGCCTCAGCCTCTCAGTGCTGGGATCACAGCCGTGCAGCGCCATACCACAGGCTGAGGCCTCCCTGAACAGAAGACACCAATCCTCTGAACCCCTTCCAGCAGAGCACACCCAGGTTCTTCACCAACTCAAGCTCGGGCCAGGCCAGGCCAGTGAGAGCAGTGAGTGGCAACACACATAGCCCGATGTGGCACACGTGCCTTCGGTTCACCAGCACTGGGCTAGACACGGGCGCCTGGAGAGGAGAAAGACTGCTTCAGCCTCAAGGATGGCCCAATTCCAGGCCTCCTATACCAGAAGCTGGGCATATCACCAACCATATTACATCAGTTCAAAGCAGAAGCCACCACTTTCTCCCAGGGCAAAAGGGTATGCGGCAAGTCTTACTGAATTACACATGCTCACTCTTACACTGAAGCTTTCCTGACTTACTAGGAGGCAAAACACAACCGTTTCCCATGACGAGTACTCTACAGGGATGAAGTGGGGCTTCCTGATGTCTGTCCTTCAGCATGGCAACACCCAGCAAAGTCAATCACCTTTCCTTTATGCAAGGTAGCATATCCCCTTCAAGAACAAAACCCTCTGAGGGAAATGGCCAGTCCTCTATCTAGAGCAAGACTCCTCAGTAGCAGAGAAGCTGAGGGACAAGAATGCTAGTTTCCATCCAGCTCCTGGGGTTCCTCGTCTGGTGGCTGGCTGGCGATGTGCTCCTGAGTCAGGCGCACCAGGTCTTTCTGCACATTTGGGTGGTCCTCCAGATCCTCGTAGAGCGACCTGACGATGTCCAGTCTCCGGTAGTTCTCGGGCTTCACAAGGCTCCGTACAACCTGGAGGCATCGTTCTTTCAGGGTATACACTGCAAGGCAGGAGACCAGATCCTCAGGGGCAGCCAGGCCTCAGGGATGAGGGGAGCAAGAGGTTGCCAAGCACATCACTGATATTAGAGTGGACCTCAATGTAGGGTAAATAGATGAAAATTACAGAAGCTGAGCAAGTGTTGCTGTAGCTCTGCACTCTCCCAGGATTCCTGCCCTCTATAGTAACCTTTCCTCGAAAGAGGACTAGGCAGCAATCTGCTTTCATGGACTACAAGTGGAAGAAGAAACTGGCAACACTGGGCACAAACAGGAAGAAGGAGCAATGTGCTATGCTCTGAGCTACACTACTGAGAACACAGCTAGGGGCAGGCCCTGAGGCCATTAGGAAGAAAGTGCTGGCAGCAGAAGGTGGCTGCAGTCAGCTGGATTACCACCTGGCTGAGCCAAGTTCGGGCTGCACAATCTCAACAAATAATTAATTTGGGGTAGGTGTCACATGGCAACAGATCAACAAAGACAGTATGAAACTGGAATTTTTAGGAACTCAATTCCTATTTTAAACTCACTGGGAAACTTACACTTCTTTTCTTGCAGTGTTGGGATCACACCCTGGGCAAGTGCTCTGTCAGGAAGCTACAGCGTGGACCCACTGATCGATCGATCAATCTAGTACTGAGAATTGAGCCCCTGGCACCCTCTACCACTAAACTGCATTTCCAACCTGCCCAGCATCCCCTGCATTTTGTACCAAGTCTTGCTATGTACTTCAGGCTGGCCTTAAACTCACTATGAAACCCAGGCTGGCTTTGAGTGCTCTGTGAACTCCCTTGACAGCATCCCAAGTGCTGGGACTATAGGCGTGTTCCACCATACATGAATTTCCTAGCCACCTTTCAATTTTTTTTTTCCTTTTGAGAGAATCTTGTTAAGTGGTCCAAGATGGCCTCAAACTTTTGAGTCTCCTGCCTCAGCCCACAGAGTCACTACATTATAGGTATGCAACACCACACAGGTTTGAGGCCAGCTTGGGTAACTGGGATCTAGTCACACACACACACACACACACACACCTGGGTGTGGAAGCACATGCCTAGTAATCCCAGCACTTGAGACTGAGGCTCAAGAACTGCTGTGAATTTGAGGTCAACCTGGGTTACATAAGCAATTTCAAGGCCAGTCTACACTACATAGAAGATCCTGGAGAGAGAGGGGGGGAAGGAGAGAGGGAGGGTGGGAGGGAGAGAGAGCAGAAGAGAGCGAACAGGTTGGGAATGTATCTCAGGGGTAGAAGCTCTAGGTTCAATCTCCAAAATGCAAAACAAAAAAGTATCCCATAAGGCAAAATTAATCAAACTTACCAATGCCCAGTGCTCTTTGTGTATGCCCACTTCTTTAACACAGAATCTATGCTACACACATAACACTAAGGTGGTCTCTGCAGTACTGGGGACTGAACCCAGGGCCTTTACTCTGAGCTTTATCCCCAGCCCCTTTTCATTTTGAGACAGAGTCGTAGTAAGTCTAAGTTCAACCTAATAAAATCATTTGATTTTTAAACAGTGAACTATGATGTTGCTCTTCCATTCTTTCTTTTTTTTTAAAAGAAAATTAATCTTTCAGTTTTATTTATTTATTTATTTATTTATTTATTTATTTATTTTGTGTGTGTGTGGCCAGCTCAGCCCACCAGGGGGCAGGGGCTGGCTGGCATGTGGTGCTGGGGGATTGAACCGCAGTCCCTGTGTTTTGCTTACCTTAGCTTGTTCTAAGTAGGTGCTTTAGACCACTGAGCCATCTCACCAGCCCTCTTCCATTCTTTCAAATGACCTATCCACTACTTATTACAATAGACAACCTCTATAAAAAGTATAATTGACCGTCAGTACCTGGCAGTGTGATGTTGGCAAAAATAGGCTGTCCATCAACATTCAAAGACGGCACAAATAACTCAGTCTGGTTAACCAGAAGCCCATCGTATGTCCCAGCATCTCTGAAGAGCCAAAGGTGACCTGTCACACAAGCACAGGCTGTTAGGGAGCCACAGAGAACTCACAGATGCATCTGTCCTCCCCACATTCCCTTGCTGACATGAACTTCCTGCCTCTCGCTCCACTTAGATGTCCCACAGGCCTTCCAGGAATAACACAACACAACCCTTACCCAAGACAGAAAGCAGGTCTGATAGGCCCAGTGACTTGACAAGGCAGCAGAAACAGCGGAAGAGCAGGCATACACACAACCATGGTGAAAAGCAAAGCCTATGCAAAGCCAGAGACTGCAAACCACACAGAATAAGGCTACTGGCTCCCCAAACCTGTGCTACTCAAAGAGATGCAAAATCAGCATGAGAGCACACAGAAAGGGCAGGAGGGATCTCAGTGAAGAGATAGAGATATTCTGATTTAGGTGTCTAACTACCAAACTTCATCCAGGCTGAAGAAAAGCACATTTCATTGTGTAAATTATACCTAGATTTTATTTATTTTATTTTATTTATTTATTTATTTTTTTGCAGAACCAGAGATTGAACTCAGGCCCTTGCGCTTGCCAGGCAAGTGCTTATTCTACTGAGCAATATCCCCAGCCCTATACCTAGATTTTAAAAAGACATCATATGTACAAAATGACAGGGGGAAAAAAAATGATAGGGGAGCTGGGCACAGTGGCACCCACCTGTAGTCCCAGCACTCAGGAGGCTGAGGCAGGAGGATCACTGCAAGTTAAAGACCAGCCTGAGCTACAAAGTGAGCTCAAGGGCAAGCTAGATAGCTCAGTGGATTAAAGCACCTGCTTAGGCAGACGCAGGGACCGGGGTTCCATCCCCAGCATGCCGTGCCAGCCCTGCCCTCTGGGGTGTGCTATGATGGTGACTGAGACTGGGCATGGTGGTGTGCGCCTGTAATCCCAGCACTTGGGAGGCTGTAAACAGGTGAATCACTACGAGTCCAATCTAGTGGTGAGGCCCTGAACACTCTGTAGACCCTTCCCTAAAATAAAAAAAAATTAAAAATTAAAAATCTGGCCACAGTGGTACATGTCTGTAATCCCAGCACTCAGGAGGCTGAGGCAGGAGGATCACCACAATTTTGAGGCCAGCCTGGGCTACAAAGTGAGTTCAAGGCCAGCCCCAACTGCATAGTGAAGCCCTGTTACAGAAAGACAAAAAAAAAAAAAAAAAAAAAAAAAGATACTCAATCAGGCACAGCATAAATTTATACATACTATAAAATTCATATAACTTTCTACATGAAAGATGGAGGCTCAGACAAGGGATTGAGAGTTCAAGGCCAGTCTGAACCACATAATGAGACCTTATTTTACTTTTATCTTGTTTTTTTTGTTTTTGTTTTTGTTTTGGCAGAACCGGGGATTGAACTAAGGCCTTTGTGCTTGCCAGACAAGCACTTAGTCTACTGAGCTATCTCCCCAGCCCCTATCTTGGTTTCCTGAGACAAAGTCTCCCTTTGTAGTGCTGGTGGTCCCAAACTTGTGATCCTCCTGCCTCAGTCTCCCAAGTGCGGAGATTACAGGTGTATACCACCATACCTGCTCTTTTTTAAAAAAGAAGAAAGTCGGGTGTAAAGATCGAGATGCTGTGTCACTCTATGATAACAACTCCACTATGCGGTGCAACAGCAAGGGGTGGCCCCTTTATGTTGGACTTTCCAGACTCCAGAACTTAAGTAATAAAGACATTCCTTTTCTTTAAAAATTACCAAAAAAATTAAAATTACAAGAAGGAAAATTGAGAAGTATTAGCTTATAAAGTAGATCAGACAAGACAAAAAGGGTGGCCAAGTGTGGTGGTGCATGCCTGTAATGCCATGAGTCAGGAGGCTGAGGCAGGAGAATTACTGCAAATTGGAGACTAAGCTGGGCTACAATGTGAGTTCAAGGCCAGTCTAAATTGCATTGAGAAATCTTGTCTCAAACGAAGGAGGAGGAGGGGGAGAGGAGGAGTAAGAGGAGAAGAGCTATGAAAGTTGAAGAAGGCTAAGACAAGAGAAGATCCCCTTAGAAAAGCCAGGTAGCCCTAGCCTGTTTGTTGTTGCTCTGTTTCACTGGTTTTCTGAGACAGGTCTCTGGTTGTCATTCAGGCTGCCCTCGAGCTCACTATGGAGGCCGGGGCCCACTCGCCTGACCTAACAGTCTACTACCCACTTCTCACTAATGGTCTTCTCTCCAAACCACCCTGCAGCTGGGGTGAGCTACTCAGTGGGCAAGTCCGACAATGACAACCAGCCCTACTTCCCTAGGGGTAGGCAGAATCCCCTCTTGAGCTTCCTCTCCCACCAGTCCATGCCCACTCTGCCACGGCTCCGGGTCTTAGCGCTCAACCGACTTAGCCCAGTCCTGCTCATCGTGTTCCCTCTCTTCCCTGGGACCCACTCCCCAGTGGACCGCACACTCCTCCCTCGTCCCGCGTCACCGACCACCCGCCGAACCCAGCTCGGGCGGTGACGTGGGCTCATGCCCTTCTGTCCCTCCCCCCCCGCCCCCCGCAGTCGTCCACTCCCCGCGCCCCGGGGAGGGTCTAAATGGCAGGCATAGGGGATGGAGCCCATGTGCGAGGGAAACAAGATCTGGAAACGGGAAAAACCACCTTCGGATTCAATCCCCTCAGCGTTACCGAACGCCGCGCCGCTGCCCAGCAGCACCGACCTGGGCGAGTCACTCGACCCGGGCAGGTCACCGCGTCCCCCGGCGAGGGGAGGAGCAGCGCCCGCGTTCCCGGGGTGGGGAGAGGTGGGAGGCCGAGGCGGCGGCATCCGCTGGCGGCGGCGCGTACCTCGGTAGCTGTGGATGCGGCGGCCGGTGCCCGGCGCCAGCGTCGGGTAGGGCTGCGGCTCGCCGTCGAAGTTGAGCCACACGGGCAGCACCACGCGCGGGCTGCGGTTACAGAAGATGACCTGCGAGGGCTCGCGCGAGTTCACCGAGCGCAGCACGGGCCGAGGCCGCCCAGCCTCCATCTCCCGCCCGCCGCGTCGGGCTCCCGGAGAGGCCCGCCTCCAGGAGCCCGCCGGGGGAGCGAGGGAACCCCGCCTTCCCGCGCCCCCCTCCGGAAACCAGGCGCCGCCAGCGGCCACGGACAAGGAGTAAATCGCGGAGGGCGCGCCTACGTGCCTGCGTGCGTGCGTGCGTGCGTGCATTTGTCGCGGCGGGCGAACCCACGTACTCTGAGGAGGGAGAACGCACGCGCAGACGTGGCGGCTGGGAAGAGTGTGCGCACGCGCAGACAGGTCCTCCGAACGAGCGGACTCCGCGCCGCCCAGTTTTCTGTCCTACCTCCTGTAATTCTTTTTTTTTTTTTAATTTTTATTTGTGTGTGTGTGTGTGTGTGTGTGTGGCCAGCTCAGCCCACCAGGGGGTGGGGCTGGCTGGCATGTGGTGCTGGGGAATTGAACCGCGGTCCCTGTGCTTTGCTAAGCTTGTTCTAAGTAGGTGCTTTAGACCACTGAGCTATCTCACCAGCCCTGTAATTCGTTCTTGATGTCCCAGTGGCCTTTTGTCCCGCTGGCTGTGCTGTTAAAAGTTTTTTCTTGTCGTTTGACTTTTCTCTGCTTTGGTTCACAATTTTATTTTTATTGGTATCAGGAAACAAACTCAGAACCGTTGTGGTTGCCCGGCAGGCGCTGTGCTACTGAGCTATCTCCCCAGCCCCTGGTTCACAGTATTAAAAAATCTATAGAAGAAAACTGTCAGGCTAGACCCAAACGAGTGACCCAGATCACTAGTACAGGCAGGGTTGAAGCAAAGAGTGGTATGGCAATATCTTTGTTTCAGACTGGGTGCATCCTGGTCAAGAGTGAGAAAGCCTTTGACCACCGAACAAAGGGAAAGAACACGTTTTGTAAACTAAACATGGGTGGAGGGGAGTCCCACTGAGGAAGATGGAAAACAATTTTTACCAGGGTTTATTTTGGTGGGTCTGGGGCCTCTTTAGGGCGTGATGCAGGAAGACCGTGGTATCCTGCTGACCTTCAGCATGACATTCTGTAGATTTACATGATTTCCCCTAAGCCTGAAAACCAGGCCTGAGTGCCATTCTGATAAGCATTTATTTTAGTCTCTGTGGCTGGGTGAGGGAGTGGGGCTTCCTGCTTGAACAAAGTATGAGTTTTTTTCTTCAGGCTGGGAGGAGTCCAAGTGTGAAGACCTCAAAAGAACCAAAAGGTAAAATTTACCTTCCTCTCTCCAGTCACACTGCAAAGGGTTCTTCATAACTGGCCTCCATGCTTTCTTACGTTACACTCCTATTAACTTGTTTTGAAATTTTGGGGGTTTTCTCTTTAAAATAAAAAGAGATTGGGGCTAGGCCAAGACCCCAATACATATGTTAACCTCTGATTGCCTTAGAGTTGGGAGCCATGGCACACAGTTTTTATTAGTTTTTTTTCCTCTGTATTTTAGGGAAGGGTGTTCAGGGTGTTCAGGGTCTCACTACTAGATCCCACTCACAGTGATCTGCCTGATTACAGCCTTCCAAGAGCTGGAATTACAGGCACGCGCCACCATGCCCCATCAAAGTATTACTGTTTATGAAAGTAATTAAACACATTTTTAAAGGAATCTTGTTTGGTTTGGTGCTGGGGATGGAACAAGCCCACTTGCTCCTTTTTCTCTGCCCATCCTGTTTGGTGTGTGGCTGGGGAAGGGAGCTGCCACTGGGCCTTAACATGGGGCCTCCTCAGCTCTAGGGCTGAGCCACTGCTCTTGGTACGTTACCCAGGCTGGCTTCTAGTACTGTGATGTTCCTGTCTAACTCACAACCTGTTAAGATTAGTTAGATATGCTGAGCTCATTGTCTCAACATGGAGGAAGGAACTCAAAAACCAGAAGAGGACATTATGAGAATTTTACTGGAGATAAGGAGACTATTTCCTGGTCTCCAGGAGGGGTGTGGGTGAGTAGCTACAAAGCTCTTTGTCTGTGATAATTTTTTTTTTTTTTTTTGCAGAACCAGCGATTGAACTCAGGCCCTTGCGCTTGCCAGGGAAGTGCTTATTCCACTGAGCCATCTCCCTGGCCCTTGTCCATGATAATTTATTTACAGCAAAGTCACAATGTGGGAGTCACATAGAGAGAGGACTTGGTTCCATATGTTTTTGGTCACCCACTATATGCTGATACCTATCTGGGCCCAACAGGTCAGGTGGTGCTTCTTACAGTCAACTCTCAAGTGCTGGCTTCTTTCTAAGGAGACTCACAGTCCAGGCTGTTCGTCTTTACTCCTGATAAAGAGTTCTGACCTTCCTGGATGCTCCAAAATCATTCCACAGGTCTCTTTCCTTCATTGTCCATTCGTTTAGGAGATTGGGGCTAGGCCAAGACCCCAATACATATGTTAACCTCTGATTGCCTTAGAGTTGGGAGCCATGGCACACAGGCGGAAGGAATCTTTGGTGGCATGGGGGTGGGCCATGGACAAAGATGAGGTCCAGAGAACTGGCTTGCCTGTCAAGTTGTTTGAGTTGTTTGGTATTATCTGGTGAAATAAGATGCAAGTAATTCCTGATGCTGTTTGTTATTGATAAGATCCAAGCATACCTCAGACTCAGACCCATGACAGTACACCAGTTACAGGCATATGTGGGCTTCTAGGTTTCTGGCAGATGTGACACACCTATCTGGGCCCTTAATACCAGATGACCAAGATGGACACAACATGGGACTGAATAGACACAAAAGAAGCTGCTTTCCAGGTCTTGAAAGGGGCAGTTACATAAATACAAGCCCTTTGAGTTACTGACCATACATATAATTCTGGGTTTGGCACAAATGGGAAGCAAATCCCTTTTGGATTTTGGTCACAGTTATGTAAGGGAGCCAAGAGCTGGCATTCCCTGATTGAGAAACAGCACTGTATACCACTCTGCATGCCTATGAGGGATCACAGGGCAACAGACAGTGGAAGTATGGACCAAATGCCTAATAGAGGGTTGGGTATGGACATAAACAGCCCATCCTAGGATGAGGTGGCACAGGCTCCCACTCTTCATACATTGGGAACATACCTCAACAGTGGGCCTCTTTTTGACCAGCCCACTGACAGCCAAAGAGGGAATAGTTTGGGACTCATGTACATAACCTAGGAACCCACGTGGAAAGGTCAACTACAGGAGATGACCCTTATTCCCTATGCAGAAGGGAACTCCAGCTGACACCAGTCTAGCCAGGACCCAACTGTGCAGTGGACAGCAGTCACTAACCAGCCCAGTACAGAAGTACTTTGCTAAAAAGTGTAACAGGTAAGGGCCGGCCAAATAGCTCAGCAAATAAAGCACCTACAAGCAGGTGCACGAGCTAGGGGTTCGATCCCTGGGCCTGCTTTGCCGGCCCCGCCCTGGGACATGCTGACACAGCAATTGAGACTGGGCATGGTAGGTGTGCCTGTAATCCCAGCACTTGGGAGGCTGTAAACAGGTGGATCACTACAAGTCAGATCTAGTAGTGAGACCCTGAATACCCTGTAGACCCTTCCCTAAAAAATACAAAAAGAAAGAAAGAAAAAGAAATAGAACGGTCAGATCAAGCCAATAAGCAGGGCTATGCTTGTAATGTATGAAGGAGGCCCTCTACAGGTACGCACAGATAGTTGGGTTTTTTGAGGGGGCTGGTGCTTTGGCTGCTGGAGTGGGCAGCTCAGGAGTGACAGATAGGGCACTGCTCTTGTGGGGTGCCAAACTATGGGGAGACATGGGAGCAAAGCCAAAAAGTTGACCATGTAGGCTATCATGGTTCAGGACATAAGCCCCTTTTCTCACCAGGAAATTACTTAATAGGTGCCTTGTCCAGGCTTTGCAATGGTTGGCTGCTAGGCATAACTTTTTTTTTTTTAATAGCTTCTGACCAAAAATATTGACTGCTCTGCATGGGATGTCACTAGGAATATCATCCAACCAAGGACAAGGATCATAGACCTGGCCCTTCTGGTGGAAGCCCTTGTTCAACATTTTCATATGTTCAACATATTCATTCCTTGAACGTTATATGTCAGGCTTTGATGTTGCTTATGGATAAAATTTCTCAAATGAAAAAGGTGATTTTACAAGGCCATGTGGCCTGTCCTACCAATTTGATTTGAAACTGTCTCATTGCTATTTGTTTATCAATAAAATTATGGAAAAAAAAAAAAACAAGACCATGTGGCTCTTGCTTTGCTGAATATAGCATAAGGAGGCACTTGTGCCCTGATATATGTAGAATGTTACATTATACACCCCCCCACCTTTGAAGGGATGGAATGAGGGGAACTACTCAGACTGCTTCAAAGCTCAAGGGTATCTAAGGATACCTGAGGATGTGACCCTGCTGTCTAGCACAAGGGCACAGCAGGATATAGTTATGTAACTGTGACTTAGCAGCAGACAACCAGTGCCAGTGAGGTCAGCATGTAAGAATGTAAATAAGAGATGACAGCCTGTATAAGAATTATACAATGGGGGGTGGCCGGGGAGATAGTTCAGTAGAATAAGCGCTTGCCTGGCAAGTACAAGGGCCTGAATTCAATCCCCAATTCTGAGAAAAAAAAAAAATACAATAGGGGCTGGAATGTAGCTCAGTAGACCTGCATTCAAATCTCCATATTAAAAAAAGAATTATTCAATAAGAACACAGGCGACTTTTGCACTATTGCTCTGCTCAGCTGCCCACTGCTGTGTTGCTGGTATCTTCCTCTGTGTGCTTCTTTGGGGACTTCATATATAAAAAACTTCAGCCTCTTCAGTCCTGACATACAGTAGTGGGGCTTTTCTTGTTTATCATTCTTTTTTTAATGGGTTTTTGGATTATTCACTGGGAATGGAACCCAGAACCTTCACCATGAACTCCATCCTTGGCCCCTTTCTTACCTTTTCTCTCTCTTTTTATCTTTTAAATTTTATGCATTGATTGGGTTTTGAGGCAGGGTCTTGCTGTGTAGTCCAGACTGACCATGAGCTGGGTACCCAGGCTGGCTTTGAACTCATGGCAATCCTCAGGCTCCCAAGTTCTGAGATTCAGCTTGTTATGGTTTGTGTCTAGATGTCCCCTCAAAGCCTTATGCAATCGTGGGGTGAGGACTTCTAGAGTTTGAGATTAATTCATGATCAAGGCTAGGATTATAGGTTTTAGTACTGCTGGGATTATGGGTGTGAGTACTATACCCAGCCTGGGGCATATACCCAGAATGCAATTTAAGGGAGACTTCCTTTCTGTTGCCTCTCTTGCCATTGTTGCTGTTACACCTCCCCTTTTGCTCTTGCTGTTTTTGCTGTCTTCTGCCACCATAAAAGGTTGCTCTCTGCCATGTGCTGCTCTGCCTTGGAGCCAGCTGAGTATGGACTGAAACCTCCAGTAACTATGATCTAAATAAACCTTTCCTGGGGGTGGGGGAAATAACACAGTAGAATAGGTGCTTGCCTGGCAAGCGCAAGATCCTGAGTTCAATCCCCAGTATCGCAAAAAAACAAACAAAAAAAAAACAACAACCTTTCCTTCCCTCATTTTGAGTGTCAGTTATTTGTCCCAGCAATGAGAGAAGGATAACTGAAGATAAAATTTGTTACCAGAGAAGTGGGGTTATTGCTGTGACTGAACATGACCATGTGGATTACAAGCTTAGGCAATGCCTTATGGGAAGAGACAGGAAAGGTTTGGAGATATTGCCTACAAGCGAAGCACTGGAACAGCTTCTACTGTTCTGCTTGGGAGATTCTGGTCAGAGTTCAGAAGATCAGAAGGCTGACAGAAAGCCTGTCTGTTAAGACCAGGCTGGGGAGGTTTCTTCTGGGAAGAAGGACTGCATTGGTTGTTGGAGTCCAGATGATTTGTGTTATGGCTTGGCGGAAAGTTTGCCTGAATTTTGTTAATGTCCAGAGACTTTGCCTGAGACTGAGATTAAGCATAGTGGACTGATTAAACTGGCAAAAGATTTACCAAAGCAGTCGAATATTAAGGCAGTAGCATGGCTGTTGTTGGGAGCTTTTAGTTAGATTTATGTTGAAAATCAAAAGCAAAGAGCCCAGCACGATGATTTAAAATATTGAGTTTGACCAGAAAAGAAGCTCCATTCTCTTAATGAATAGAATGATTTGTTCTAATGGTGTTTGTAAATAGGATCTCAAGTCCGCATCTTGTACAGAAATTAACCACTAAGAAGAATATATGCAGTGTGTTATTTGTTGAAACTGTACTTCTGATTTGATTTGAAACTGTCTCATTGCTGTTTATCAATAAAATTTTGAAAAAAAATGAATGAATGAAAAAAAAAAAAAAAAGAAAAGAAGCTCCAATAAAGCTGTGGACTGCAAAGATAGAGCTGAGAGGATCTCCATTGCCAGGAAGGAACAAGAGAATCAAAAAAAATGGCCTGAGGGCATCACAGGAGGTGGCAGGTCTCCACCCTCTGCTGCCCCAGAATTGCAAAGCTCAGGGACTTCGCCCTGAGGAGAAGGCTGCAGAGTGCCATGTTCCACAATGGTGGCAGCAGCCACAGCGGGTTCCAAAATGGTGCGTGGAGAATTTGTTCCTCGGAATCAGGGTCAGAGTGCTCAGCCAGCCAGGCACTCGACCCCTACAGCCAAGAGAGAAGGAAGCCTGGCTGCTGCTCCAGCTGGCAGCAGACCTTGGCATCATCCACGTGGCGATGGTTTTAGGCACATTCAGAATGCAGGAGTTCTGAGGCTAAGAAGGCTTCCACTTAGATTTCAGAAGGCCTGCGAGGCCAGGCAATGTGCCCCTGGGAGGACAGTGTGTAAGGCTGTGAGTGAGAAGCCTGTTCAGCGGAAACCCCAGAAGTTTGAAAAAGCCAGGAACGTGGATCATCTAAGGCAAACTTCAAGGAGGAAGCAAAGTCCACCTAAGAGAGAAGCTACGGAAACTACCACAAAAAGTGCCATAGGGGCGGAGCCATGGAAGGCCTTT